TACCTGAATAATGATTTACACAAGAATTCTGTGTAGTGATCGAAATTGGCTTACAATATTATAGTAATTTCATGCAAAAGCGAACTCTTCAAAATTTGCCTATTTTTGCGTTTTGGTCCCGCTTCGGCATAAATACGCCCATGGAAAATATGCCTTTACATAGAAACAAGATATAATTTTTATGTTCTATAATAAAAATAAGAATTGTGGTATAGGGTATTTAGTGGTCGGCCTTGCTCGATTATTACCTTCTTACTTGTTTTATAATGAAATAACAACGAATTTATTTAAAAAACCGACAAAGAAACTTTCATGGAATAATACTATTGCATAAGTAAATAATTCTCTTAACAGCAATTAGAGAATTGCTAATAAGAAGAATTATGTGATTTAGAAAACATTATGCAATGCTTTGCTACTAAACATGTAACGCTCTCGTCTAAAGACTGCATTCAAGATCTCTATAAATAGTTCACAAATTGTTGTTATAATAATTGTCACGTACGATATATTCTCAAAAATTTATATAAGTTTGGTTTTTTTCTTTTCTTTTTCTTAATAAAAAAGAATACGTGAGTACTTTATGTAAAAAATGAAAACACGAGTAATAATAAGAAAAAATTGCTAATAAATATAAATAATATATAATTATATATAGGAATGATTGATTGATTGATTGATTGATTAATAAGTCTTGTACGTTGTATAACACGTAGACGTCGTGTAAATTAAAGTTTAATTGTGATCTGTACACGTCAGAGAAGCGAATATTATAGTAAGAATAAATCAATACACACGACCCAAGCTAATAACGGTGCATTATAATCCAAAGGAAATAAGTGCAGATAATAATTTATTTAAAATAACTTCAATCAAATTAAAATATTTAAGAGAAAAAAAAAGAAAAAGAAAAACAAAACGATAAATATTTGAAAAATATTCAAATTTATATCAAAGAAGTAAGATAATTATATGGTGGCTTGTGATGGCTTGTGATAGATAGTGTGCGCTAGTGGGAGGAGGGAAACAAACTTACTTTCAGATTGAACCTTTAGATAGGGGCTTCTCTAGATCACATTCTAAGAAAGATACGCTCTAGCCTTTGGAAATTTCCGAAGACAAAGTTTTGAGTCCTTGGGTCTTGTAAAAATTTGCATATGCGATGGCTAAACATAACATTGCTGTTGTTAAGAAAGTAGAGTGATCGAGAGATGCATTTAATTTGCGCGGACTTATGTAACCAAGTCCGGTGAGTAAATGAAAGTAAACAGGCGGATTTTGCCACAAGCAAATCTAAGCAACATGAGGGCTATCCCTTAGAACAAGTTCGCACGATGTCCGAGGGATATAGACAGTAGGTATATTTTTTACGAGTTCTTGGGGGCGTGTTTTTATTAAAGAATTCATTTGAGATAAAATTTTCTTCTTTTTTTTTTGTAGAGATTAATTGATCTAAGCCAATAAGAAGTCTACAAAGTTGTTGAAGAGAGCATTTTTGGTATTTAAAAAAGTGTACTCAAATTGAGCTCTCATTTTTGACCCTAATCGATATGGGTTGATATTATCGAATACTTTTTCTGAAACTATTTTACATTTTTTCAATGAGAAATATAAGAATATTTTTTAGATTTAGTATTATAAGCATTTAGGTTGCTCTGATTTAACATGTGTTCGCGCACCTATGTATGGATGTGTGCTGAAAATTGTATTATGTGAGGGCTTGTAGCGCTTTATACAAACAGCATCAAATAGAGAAGGCACTAAACATTTGAATTCCACTAAGATTTTCACTGCTTTCGCATGAATCAAGGAGCAATCATGGCTTACGATGCTGTAATCAAAGCAGGCTTCTTCTGGCGTACACAGCCTAATTGACTATATCGAAAAGCAAAGTCTGATAGAGTCTGAGAGAACTTTAGAAGAATTATTCTCATTGCATAAGATTACATATATGTCACATCTAGAAAGTGTAGAAATCAATGTTCGATTTATCTTGTTGGGGTGTAAAGGCATTAAAAACTCACGAATTTGACAAAAAAACTTCGTGATCACCGATCAAAAGCTAGAGAATTATTAGCTTAGGTGCCAGTGCGATTTTGATGGCAAAGCAGTGGAGAGATTAAGAGAAGGCGAAAGGGGCGACGAAAAGCGTAATCACAATCAAAAAAAAAAAAATAATAATATTAGGTTTTTTTCGACTGCTTGACACCCTCCACTTTCATCTTCCACTTTCGAAAGTGAAAATTATAATCTTAGTTACTTGGCCCTGATCGATTAGAGCTACTTTTGCGCAGATACTCTAATGTTGTCTTTTCGGTATGTGTGGAAATATTCATCATTGTATGTGTTGTAGAGAACGAGTGATGAGTAAAGTAAAATGTTTTTTGTTTTCGAAAGCAAAAGTGTTTCTCTTTATTCTTTACTGTAGGCGTGTCAAGGGTTTAAGCCATTTCTAATGTTTTAAATGTTTTTGTCGTCTTCTTCTTCGTGTTTAAAAGAGATGGTGAAGAAAGGCGATTAGGTGTAACTTCTATTATTCCCATTACTATTATAGCCGAACAAATAACATTTATTCAAAAAGAAAAAAAAGCATTGAAGCACAAACAGAGTAATATAAATAAATATTATAAATAAATAAAAAATGTGAATAATTAAATTAAAAATAAACACACACACGTAGATATTGTGATTTAGCTAATTAATACAAAATAAAAAAAAAACAAAATTCCAAACAAAAAGAAAAATTAAAACAAAAGCAAAATAAAACGAAAATTAAAAATATTTTCTTTTCCAATTTTGTTCAAGTTTTTATTGTTAATAATTATCACTATTAATTTTTATTTTAATTTTTATTGTACAACAAAATAAAGATAAGAAAAAAAAGAAAAATTTCTAATTAAAAATCTATTTAAAAAATACAAAAAAAAAAACACATTCATAAATAGAAATTAAAAAATAATTTCGTGTAAAATAAAAAATTTCCTAGAATTGCATTTTGCAATGTTTAAAAAAAAAAAGAAATTAAAAGTAAAAAATGAAATTAAAAATAAAAAATGAAATTAAAAATAAAAAGCAGTTTCCCCTTGAAACGAATCTTCGATACGCAAGCAATTATCCTGAATAGCTTCTTATTTCGGAATATTGAAAATTGTGCTTCTACCCGAACACTCGACTAACCGCGAAACAATATCTCTTTATCTGTCAATAAAGTAACCGGAATTGTACATTTAACAAAAAAACCGTGATCGGTGTTGGCAACAGCAAAATTTAACTTTTGAACTTGCGTATAATCAAAACTGCTGCTGTATCCAGCGGAGAGAAAATATGGGCTAACATATACTATATCTCCATTATATATATTAAGACTGTTGCTTGTCAAGAGTAATTACTTCGATGGAATAAAGGAACAATTTCGGAATACGTAGCAAGCTATTTTATGTTCATTTCTTCCGATAAGAAAGATGTATTTTTGAAAATTCCCGGTACTTTTTCACCAACGCTATATATTGAAATTTTTAAAAGAGCGCCAGCTACGATCCTTTTCACACTTGAGTAGGTGAGTAGTAATTAAGTTTCCGGTAACTTCAAGGGTTGGAATGGATGGACGGAAGGACGGACGTAGACTTAATTATAGCTAAAATTACTTTGTCTCCTTCCTCTAAGGTGCATGGGCATGTGAGAGACTTTTTGGCACGTGCCTATGGAATTAAAAATTTCATTTCCGTTCCATGGTCCATGACGTGTATAATGAAATCATACGTAAAGTGCATTAGCTAGGCACTATTTGATGATTTATTATGCTAAGCCGATTTATGCTTTACATAAGCTGTTATTTATTTTCTTAGGTGCAAAATACATGTTCAGCTACAAAGATAATTAAAGATAAAGTGGTAGCGATCAAACATTTATTATTAGTATTGCAGCTACTATTTAGTACTATTACAGTTTGCGATCATTCAAATTAAGCATTCGATATTCATCTCTTTCTTGTTTTTTTCTTGCTTTGTGCTAATGGTGATTGAGGTGAGTGCATTATGTCGGTGTGTTTGCTTAGTTATCTCATCATTTATTCAACAACATCATTATATGCATGTACCAGCAACTACTAAACCATTACGTTAATAAAAAGTAATTTTTTTTATTTATTTGTTTATTTATTTATTTATATTTTTTTTTTTTTGTATTTTATTTGTTAAACTTTACGTGTTTTTAGCGCTTTTAATTATTATAACGTTTAACTTTGTTTGCGATTGTTTTGGCTTAAAATGTTATGAACATGAGCATGAGTTTTTAAATGGTACTTAGCGCGCTCTCTTTTCAGTTATTGCAAAAGAAAAAAAAAGCAAAACTTATTTTTTAATTTTTACAAAAAAAAAAGAAGAAATATCCATTTAGCTTGGAATAAAAAAAAAAAAGAAAAAAAAAACTCTTATATTAAAAATCAATAAATACACATTTATTGGTGCATTCATCATCCGTTATATATTGTATATATTGTATGGCGAGTCAGTATATCTAAAGGTGTGTGCGTGTGTGTGTGTCTGGGTGGGTGGGTGGGTGTACGTGCATTTCATATATAAATATCTAACTACAGGTGTTAACGCATGCATGTATTTGTTGGGTCGAGGGATGTTTGCGAGAGCAGTGTTTGATTGTGTTGTGTGTTGTGTGTGGAACCAGCAATCTCTGGTGTTTAACCTCTTCCTCCATCTAAGATAAAAATATATATAGATATATGAAATAAATTTTAATATTTTCTAGAGATTTTTGACAAAAATCATATATACATATATATGCATATATATATATAAGCATAAAAAACAATAACGACATTAAAATAAAATTTAAGATTAACAAATTAAAGCTTTGTTTGTTTCATATTCACTGAGTTTAGTTACAATGTAATTAATTATATTATGCTACGAACACTACTTGTGCTTAAAAAAAAAGTTTCTTTTTTTTTTCTTAATATTAAAAATAAATAAATTAATGTGATTTACTTTGTTGGGGCGGTACAAAACCGAAACCGGAAGCACCAACAATAACACCGCTGGATTCTTCAATCGCATCCGGAGGTGAGGGTGGAAATACGACGGGACCTTAAAAGAAAAACAGAGAAAATAAGTAAATAAAGTCACAACCAATTTTCCTTAGAAGAACATGTTTATTAGAAAATCTGGATAAGCTAATCCTTATGACTTCAAAACTTTGCACTTTAAAGAAATGTTGTAAGTTAACGTCCGGCGTTGCTGAAAAAAAACAAACTCAAGGCATTGCAGCCCATCTATAGAAGCCGTTGATCTTCTCTCTCTTCTTCTCTCTTAAGTCTTTTCATGCAAATGGTTAGTTAACAATAGCTAGATGTTAAATAAACCCTAAAGTTGGAACTTGGAACATCAGCCACTCCACGCGAAATGTACTTGGAATTGTTAAGAAAAAGAGAAAATTTCTTAATTAAATATTAGTCGCCTTCGAATGACGATTCCTTCGTACGCAATGCGGTCCGAACAATTCCTGCTTCTTTCATGTATCTTTCTACAGGTGGCAACGCTCATAGTAATCTTTAAGAAATTCAAGAGCCCAAGAATTGACAAATTCTAATATTCTGTGTAAAACAAGTTTCCTCGCATACAATATATATATGGCATCCAGCCGCTTGCACGAATTCTCTTTTAGGTCTTCAGGTGATTCAAAACGCTTTTCCCGAGGTAATACAAGTTATTACCTCGGAGAAGCTCAAATGGATCTATTTTATGCGAACAGCATGCTTCTTTGATAGAAAACAATTAATTTCTTCTGAAAATAAGTCTTTGAGACTTATACCAAGCCAGCTATTATTGATTTGCTGAAAACAGAGGATTCGCTAGAGAGCGCAAACCGGAAGCACATTCCTTACCATCTTTTTTATTTGTTGAAAATGTTAGCTACTTTACCAGCGGCACGAAGAAGCGATATATATGTCACCGGCGATTCGCTAGAGAGCCCGCGAGGGCAACATATTTCGTAACATCTGCTTGCTCCGAGTCGATATTTAGAATGATTTGCTTTTGTCTTAACCAGCTAAGGGTGTGGACTTCTTTAGCGATGTGCTCGTCAACCGCAGCGAGTGCGTAATATAACCTTATTTTGGCAAATACGCGTTCATGGTGGTAACATTTTATGAGTAAATCCAACAAGACGGATCATGACTTATATACTCGTCATACAAAGTGAACTCGTTAAACTAGTCCTACTACCAAACGAATTGCTACCGTAACCCATCCTCGAATAATACGTCCTATGATGCGCACACTATAGACATCAGTTACGTTTCAGTTTCCTTTTCAATTTTTAAGGAACTATGGGCGGATCACACAAGAGAATTGCATAGTTTTATCTGCAGATCTCAATTCAAAGCAAATGTATTTAGTTTCAATTTCTAAAATCAGTTACATGCGATAGTGAGCAATGACAAAATGGACTGATAGACGGACTAAGTCTTATCAAGAATATATCGACGAGATATTTACCTCTATTTTGGCGAGGATCTCTTATACTATTTGCTGCGGGGAAATCTATTGAATTATAATTAAATTGTCTAGATGGCCCATGACCGAAATAACGTTGACCTGCAACCAAAGCTAGTGAAGCGATAACAGCAAAAATGGTGATTAGCTGAAATGATAACATAAATAAAACCCAAATAATTAGAGTAAATTAATTAATCTTAAGATATATAAGTATAAGTATGAATTATTAAACGGCACAAAAGTCGAAGTCAAAAACATATTTTCAAACATAAATAATGTCAATAATTATCCTTACAAGCAAAAACAACAAAGCAATGACTGCTCGTGGCTTTAATGGCATTAAAAAATACTTCCGTTATACGTTAAATATGTAATAACCTTGAAAAAAATCCCAAAATTAACTTTCTCAAAATTATAGATACATTCACGGGGCAATCGCTGATAACAATAACAAAACTTTGCAATTATTATGATTTAACCCCATTTAGTGCGCGAGCATGAAAATCATAATATTTCAGCAGCTTTGATGGAACAAGTTTTTCATTTTTTTCATTTTTTTTTTTTATTGTTGGTGTGTAGTAAGTAATAAGAAAATAAGGAAAACACTTTGGTTAATAAAATTGTAAATAAAGAGTTTTTTTTTTTTCTTATTGCTTTCATTGACTGTGTGTTAACGATTAATAATAATAATAATGAATAATGAAAACCGAAATGCAGTAAAGTATTTGAAGTTAATCAGAAAAAACAAAAAACCATGAATAACATGGTCAGTGCAGTACATTCACTTTTATTGTTGTTGTTGTTGGTGTTGCTACTGCTGCTGTTGCAAGTTGGTGTATTTGGGGTGTTGCCCCAAAAACTGCCAAACAATATGATTAATTTTGTTTAGTGTCTTTTAGATACGTATAGCATAAAGAATGTAAAAAAAAAACTTCCTGGTTTTTTATATAAAAAAAAGAAAACAAAACCATTCGGAATCGAATATTTTTCATATCAATTACTCGGTCAGTTGGTAAAATTAATTTTTATGCTAATACATTGTAATTGAAATTGAATTGAAATTTTTGCTTAACTTGTTATACCATAGGTGCGAGTTAACAATGCGTCTTAATCTGCCTACGCTTTTTTTGAAGAAAATTCAACCAAATTCAGGAGAGTCTCCTATAAAGATGTATAAATGTGTAGGTAGGTAAGTCATTTGCAATTCTACACGTAGAGGTAGTCAATTTACCTTTTAATATAAAATCTACGAAAATCATATCTGCAGGCAAATTCTTGAAAACTCTTCTAATCGCAAGGCTTCAGTAGGCTCGTATTTTACTTCGAGGGCTGCCTTATAGACGAGTAGATAAGAGGCACCACTACCAAGTCAATGCTCGCGAGTTCCAAATCTCAGTGCGGTTTGACCAAGTCGGTCGTCGCTACAGTGAGTGCCCAGTAGGCAAAGGCGTACCACACATCCTCTAGGCCTCGGCCCTTTTTTGTCTCTTTCTTTTTCACTACTTCCTTCTAACTTATAACCGTGTCACACTAATAAGGGATATCTCCTGAATGGTAGGTCATATTAAAAAGAAAAAAAATGGATGTTGCCAGATGTAAAAATAAATCCATTTTAAATAGCAAGCGCTTTACCCTCTACCAAACAATGTTATCAATATTGATATAAATAAGTCTTTGTCGGTTGTTCTCTTCTAGTGCTTAGAAACCGTCAAGTATATTGAAGTCAACCAAATTGCCAAAAACATTTTTTAAATTTTTAAATAAGAAAGGGGTTATCCTTCACCAGACCGCACTGCATTAATATGGACTTAATACTATTATGTTACTTAATGACATGATTGTTGCTATTTCATTATGAAGAATGTCATTAGTTATGGTTTTGGATAAACTGAATTTAATTTCACTTTATCATGTCTCCATCGCGTTTGCCAGCATAAGTAATTAGTTTAGTTTTGAAATATAAAAGAAACATTTTTGGCAGTTACGAATACTTTTTTATAGCCATCATTAGAAGTACATAAACTTTATTAAACACTTCATAAAACCTAAGACGTCGGCTTCAGGAATATCTTTGGAGCTGGAGTAAAAATATGCATCAAGTATTTGTATAAAATACAGAAATTCTTGAATAGCAAGAAATAGTCAAGGAATCGACGAAGCGTTCTCGCTTCTCTTATCTACCAATCAGTATTAAGGCCTAGACATGTTGTCATCATCCTTTCAAGGCTCAATATCTTAATCGATCTATTAGTGCATTAGTGAATATCTAAAAATCAGAGACCTTTGCCAACATGTGGATTGTGGGTTTGTATACATATATGTATATATTATATATATATATATATATACAAATGAATTTTTTATACGTTTAAACATGTTTTTAAAGACATCATGTAAACTGAATTTCTAAATATTTCGGAAAATAATGAAAGCGGTTAATTACTTTCGGATGCTCACTGTTTTGTGAGGGGCAGGATTTAAGAGGCGATTTGAAAATACTTTTCTTAAATACCATCTAAATCTAACAAACTCTTTACGCGCTCATAGACTAGCTGTATGGACTTAATTAAGGCATTTCAAAAATAAACATAGCAATGCAAGATTACGTTACAATCGGTTACGTGTCGTTAAGCACACTTTTCATAGGCACATGTAAGACGACATATTCACACGTGAGCAATTTTACCTTAAGATACTAACAATTAAATATTCGTTGTCATGGAAAAGGTTTCGTTGCCTCGCATTGTTGACATGGGATAAAGATCAAAAGATTCGTTTAATCTGATGATAATTCGTTTGATTGCGCATATTTTTATTTATCTTTCTGCTTCATCTGCCGTTCCGTACATATATATTATATACATATGCAGTATTGTGTACTGAATTCTTTAGGAAAGCGTATTTATTTAGTAATTTGTTAACAATTTTTTTTACAACAAATTTCAAATATAACAACACTTCTTGTTTTCCTCTTAAGGAATTTAAAGTTAAAAGCAGAGAATGTTTCAATTGATTGGTTTGATATTTGACAACCCTATAAAATATAGACCCATAGCAACAACATTTATATAAGTTCACCATCAACTATATAATATAATAGTCTAGCGCTCAGACACACTTGACTTTATGGCTTTAATCTTTAATAATGCGACAGACAAAGCAAACAAAACCGAAAACTCTCAATAACACTTTAATTTCAGACGGAGGCTAATAGTAAACTATGGAGATACATACAGACAACATCAACAACAATAACAACAAATGATTATCAACGTCATCAGCAGTAAATAAAAGGAAGTCAAAGAAAATAATAAAGCAATTGAATGAAAAATGAGCAAAATAACTATAGACGCACACAGCTGTAGCTACGTACATTGGCGCATATTTCGAACTAAAAAAAAAAAAGAAGAAAAGAAAACATATACACACATAGAGACATACATATATACATACAGTTGACTGTAAGTTTCTGCAAAAATTATCGCTAGTAGCGTGTAGTTGGTACACAAAATAACAAAAATGCTGTCATCAAGAGGACTTAACGCAAACACATATGGATTTATTAATGAACACATGAAGGCACTTTCATGTGTTCATGAGTGTGCGCGTGTATGTGCTTTTATTAAATTCGCCATGTGTACAGCATAAGTTTGGTTTATACATGAGAAGTTTTATGCCTTCAAAAGTAATTGCTTTTAAAAAAAGCTGACGATTTGTTTTTCGGTTATTTTCTTTTTCTTTGCTGGAAAAATAAACGTGAGTTAAACAGTCATTCGCTTTGAAGCGGCAAACTGCACAAAGCAAAAGGAAACTGCTGCTAATACAATTTACCAAAGCGTGCAACGTCTATAAAAAGTTATCTGCATTTGTCTATAAATAAGTCTTGTTATACACACCGCTATGGTATGTTAACTTTGTCAAATCTTAGTTAGTAACGCATAGACACGGCAGCCGACATATCTAAATAATTGAAATATTCTTTCCATTTGGCTGTGCGTTAAAACATTCGTCCATAAGAAGAGTGTCTAAAATGAAAAATACACTTTCAAACACTACCAACTTACTCTTACAAGACTTAGTGCAAAATAATTTACGTCTAAGCTAAATTGGCCCTTACTGGCCAATGGCGAGTTCGGTTTTCATTTAAAATGAACAGTTTTGAAATCAATCCGTACGTACCTGATTGCAACAGCCATAACGGTTAAAATCTAAAAGATAAACACTTACTGCGATTGGCCAGAATACCAGAAGCAAAAAGCAGTTGAAAAAGTAAACGAAAAAAAAATGTAGTAAATTATATGCGGACTATTCAAGTAATCACGCCGCCTTTCCAGTAAATGACAAAGAGGGGAAGGGGGCGGGGATAAGCTTGGCCAGAATGAATCGCTTCTATGAATAGGTACCTATTTTAATTAATCTCCGTAGCGTAATGTGAGGATCTTTCCATCGATGGATCAAGTCAGACCTCTACTACCACGAAACTATTGTTAGTAAGGCAAGTGAAAGATTTCAAGATATTAGGACAGCTACACCGAATGAGTAACTACACATATTATTTCCACGGTATCCCTGACTTCAAATCGAACCCAAAAAAAAAAAATACTCCAGAAAAACTAAGACAGATTGTTTTGATTAGTGATGTACTACGCTACCAGTTCAGTAGCATAGAAGTAAGTTTCGCAAAATAATATTCATTAAAAAGCTATAATAAAATTGCAATGGTGAGTATTAAAAGATATGGCCTAACCCGACCACAATTTTTCTTTCACAACTTTTTTTATTTAAATATGTTAAGCTCAGTGGCAATCTTTATTGTACAGGCATAAAACGCATCGCTCAATAAGTTCGTAAAAATAAGAAGCAGATGTAGGACAACTGTTGACGAATTCATTATAAATCCAGATTTTTCAGTTGTTTTACGAAAACTTATTGTCGGAATATTGCAAAATTTTGTTTAAAGGTCGTCCTTATCACACAAGAATCAAACAATGGATTCGTCAATCGTGGCAATATCTATTTATCATCCTACGAACTTATTGAGCGTATGTATCTTCCACAAATAAAAGAAACTAACTTTCAAGCTCTAACTAAAGCCGCAAAAAATCATTTAACGGTTTATTTTAATTTAAAAATCTTTTATTTCCT